GAGGCGGTGCTGAGGGTGGCTTTGGGGATAAGGCTGAGAGTGGCACAGAGAGCAGCCTTGAGTGTGAGGGATTGAGGGTGGGACTGAGGCTGCTCATGATTGGCTGCCATTGTGGAATGTCCATAGCTCAGGCCTCCCTCACCACAGACCCCCTGGAGTGGACTTTGCACCCAGGCCTGTCTCACCCAGAGGACCGCTTCTCTTCCAGGGTCTGCTGTGGCTTACCTTTCTGGTCAGTGCCTTAAAGGCAGGGTTTCCCTTCAAACCATCCCGTATAGTGGAATCTTTGTAAAGTCTCTCACATTGCAGGGTGCTCCTTCATGTCCTTATATCAATAAAGCGTGTCGGCCTGAAACAGCCTTGTCGTGACTCCTTTTGACGGAGTGCAGGGTAACCTGTGGACACAGGAAAAGGGGAGGCAGACACTTGACTCACATTTAGTGAATGTCCCTGGGGGCTGACCTAAGGGCTGTAAGTGTTAGCCATCAGGGCAGAGGAGCCTTGTGAAGCCCTCTGGAAAGCAAAACTGAGAGTGTCACAGTGTACAGACCACAGTGAACCTACCGGACCAAGGAAATTAGTCACCCTCCCTGATCTCGTCACTGCCACATTATCCCAAACAATCTGCTCAGACTGGAAAATGATGTTCCTGGAAATCTGTTCCATCAGGAAGTTATTATGTGACCCAGAAGAGGCTGTTGTTCCGATGAATATGAAAAACTCAAAGAAAATTGTCTTTCTGAAGTGGGGGAAATACTCTATTTCAAAATTAATATACTCATATTTTATGCAATTTTAAACTACTAACAACATAAAGATTCTAAGTAGACAAGTGTTTCTCCATCCATTAAATTTGGTGCATAGAAGTTGGTCAAAAACTTTTGGACCTTCTCACTTGGGAAAACAGGTGATTGATTGCCTTCTACCTGGGACTACGAGGTGTTTCTTATGTGATGCAATCCCGGTGTGTTTTATTTACAGGTAGGCTTACTCAGCAATCTGTTTAACCTTGTTCTAACAAACCTAGCTGTTTTGTTTCTTGGTTGGAAACCTTTGAAACACACAGCCGCTAGTTAGGAGGGATTTCTAGACCTTGGCAATGCCACCTATGCAGAAAGGGACAGGTAGGGATGCGACAGAAACTATTTTGAAAAGATAACAAACAGATGAGAACAGTCTGAACTGACAGCGGCCAGCCTCCTGGCAGCCTGTAGGACATATCGGAGAAGGTCCAGCCACATGGCCCAGCCCTGACTGATTTCTAAGGGCAGTGTGTGCTTTTAAAAGATACTTGTTTCAAATGGCTACAGTAGAAAAGGACGTTATGTTTAAAGAATAAAAACTTCATTCAGCCAGAACTCTCACCTATTAACCATCTTATCCTAATATTATTGTTGTTGCTTTGTTGTTGTTGTTAGGTGCCATCGAGTTGGTGCCAACTCATAGTGACCCCATGCACAGCAGAACGAAATACTGCCCGATCCTGGGCCAACCTCACTATTGTTGCTACGCTTGAGTCTATCGATGCTGCCACTTGGCCAATCCATCTCTCTGGGGATCTTCCTCTTTTTCTCTGACCCTCCACCTTACCAATCATGATATCCTCCAGCGACTGGTCCCTCCTGACAATATGTCTCAAGTAAGAGAGATGAGTTTGGCCACCTTGGCCTCCAAGGAGCACTCTGGCTGCAGTTCTTCCAAAACAGATCTGTTGGTTCTATGGGCAGCCCATGGCACTTTCAATATTCTCCTCCAACACCATAACTCAAAGGCATCAATTCTTCTATGGTCTTCCTTATTCACTGTCCAGCTTTAGCATCATATGAGGTTATTGAAAACACCATGGCTTGGGTCAGGCACACCTTAGTCCTCAAGCTGACATCTTTGCTCTTTAATACTTTAAAAAGGTCTTGTGCAGCAGATTTGCCTAATGCAATACGTTGTTTGATTTCTTGACTGCTGCTTCCATGAGTGTTGATAGTTGATCCAAGAAGAATGAAGTCCTTGACAACTTCAATCTTTTCTCCATTGATAAGAATGTTGTTTATTGGTCCAGTGGTGAGGATTTTTGTTTTCTTTACACTGAGATGTAATCCATACTGGAGGCTGTGCTCTTTATTGGTGTTGCTAGGTGTCATGAAATCGGTTCCTACTCTACCTGGTCCAATGCCATCCCCACAGCCCAACAGCAGCATCTGAGTCCATTTGTAGTATTATATACTGGGGTCTGGGTGTGGCGCTGTGGTTGGTGGTTCAAGCTCACCAGCTGCTCCTTGGAAACCCTATACAGGGTTGCTATGAGTTGGAACCTACTCAACAGCACTTAACAACAACAGCCCTGTGATTGGAATCCTGGTGTGATGCTGTGGGTTAATGCACTGGACTGCAAAGTTAGTTTGTACCACAAGGTCGGCAGTTCAAACTCACCAGCCGCTCCTTGGAAACCCAGTACAGGGTTGCTGTGGGTCAGGACCGGCTTGATGGCACTTAACAACAGCAAGATGGAACCCTGTGATTCCATTTTCAAATGCATAATAATGTCTGATGCCGAGTCTTCCTTCTGACCCTCTGTGTGTGTATCTGACAGTTTCAGAGTACGGCATCAAATACAACCCAAGTGAAACAACTGTCACACTTGATTATTGTCATTTGCAAGATTCTTTTTACCAGCAAGCAAACGTTTGGCTCTTCAAAGGGTCTACAGCATCATTTTCTTTGTTTAGTAATGGTTCTGTCGGCATAAGATACGTGACATTGATTGGTATTAAGTGCCTAGTAGAATTCTTAATTTTGTTTCCTAAAGTGAGATATCTGAAAACTCAAGGGGGCGGGGAGGGAGAATTTCCAGCAAGTGGCAGTGTGTTTAGACATTTGAAGAAGCTCTGTTTAGAAATAAAAATTTTTCATTACCAGAAGTAGTGGCATTGGAGCAATTGAATCCATTTCTTTCAGTGCCTGTCTACTGAGAGATGGTAGGACAAAGTCTGGTACAGATTGATGGGTGCTCATTCTGCACTGACCCGTCCATCCCTAACTACTGAGTGCCATAAAGGGCAGGCACTATGCTCTTCAGATGCTGTCCAGGGTAAGGAGCATCCTAGAAACGTAGAAATACAGAAAACACAGCTGCAAGTGATTGTAAGATACTGAATATTGCATTATGCATCCTGCTTTCAGAGTTAACATGTGAAAAGAAATCTGTTGTAGAACTGATTGCTAACATTTCTTGAATTCTAACTGCCTGTTGTTGTTGTTACATGCTGTTGAGTCGATTCTGACTCATAGCAACCCTGAATCGGGTTTCCAAGGAGCAGCTGGGGGGTTTGAACCACCAATGTTGCAGTCAAACGGACCTTGCGGTCCAGTGCATTATCTGGCAGCGCCACACCAGGACTCCAGCTGCCTGTAGTTAGCATTTTCTATGAATTATCAAATTTTGTTCTCACAACCACCTTATCAGGTATATTCCATGATTATCCCCATGTGATAATACATGAGAAAGCCAGAACTGGAAATCAAGTCTGCCTCTGAAACCGGAACCATGCACATGGCTCTGGCTTTGCTGGGCCTCTCTTCCCGGACCCAGCACCAATTCACAGTCATGTCGTAGTTATTTGCTTGTGTTGATGCTGATACTGTCTGTAGGAAAGCTGAGTCAGTCACTGAACCTTTGGCTACTAGAAGAACAAGTCATGTGACTTAAACTACCAGTCTCTTACATTACTAGAATATTGTGTGTTGTTGTGTGCTGTGGAGTCAGTTCCAACTCATAGTGCCCCTGTATAGGGTTTCCAAGAGCAGATGGTGGGTTTGAACTGCCGGCCTTGTAGTTACCACTCCAGTACTTATTTGTTGTTGTTGTTATGTGCCGTGGAGTCGGTTCCGACTCATAGCGACCCTGCACAGGGTTTCCGAGGCTGTAAATCTTTACGGGAGCAGAACGCCTCATCTTTCTCCCGTGGAGCGGCTGGTAGTTTCGAACTGCTGACCTTGCGGGTTCGCAGCCTGATTTGTAACCACTACGCTACCAGTTAAATTCTAATGAGACAATAATGAAATAAGGGATGATCACGCAGTCTTTATGGAGTTACCAACTTAACGCACAGCAGAGAGCCAGGTATGGCAGAGGTAAGCAAGGAGCCTGATAAGATGCATTTCTTGGTATACAAAGGGTTCATGTCTTTTGTAGAGATAAACCAAAGGAGTGCCCTGTCCATCGTAACAATGTGAGATGTTCCACAGTCCCACTCCCTAGTGAAACGGAGGAAACAACTACTTTCAGTCTGTGGGCACAGAGCAAACGGAGAAATGTTTATTTAAAGAAAATCAACTAAAGGGTTAGGTTAAAAAAAGGAAACTCAGCAAAACAACAGTGTATTAGCTTCCTAGATTTGCTGTAAAATAACCACACACTAGGGGGCTAAAAGGACTCCTGGTGTGGTGCTGTGGGTTAATACTCCAGACTGCAAAGCTGTTTAAACTGCAAGATCAGCAGTTCAAGCTCACCAGATGCTCCTTGGAAACCCTATACAGGATCGCTATGGGCCGGAACCGACTCGATGGCACTTAACACCACCAACAAGGGGTTAAAAACAACAGATAACGGTCTCTCACGGTCCTGGAGACTAGAGAGGGGCCAGCGAGGTTAGTTCTTTCTGGAAGACTGAGGCAAAGTCTGTTACATGCCTTTCTTCTGGCTTCCAGTGGTCCCAGGCACTCTGCAACTGGGGGCACTGTCACTCCAGTCTCCGCCTTTGACTTGGTGTGACCATCTTTCCTCTGTGAGTCTCTCCTGAGATGTCTCTTATCTTATAAGCAAAGCAGTCAGACTGGATGAGACACCTAACGCCACTCCAGTATGGCCTCAGTTGAGCAATTGCATCAGCAGCAACTGCATTTCTAAATAAGGCCAAATTAACAGGTACAGGGCCTTCGAGCATCAGTGTATTTTTTTCTTACATAACAGTAAGAAAAGGAAGCCTGTGGCATTTGAACCAAGACTTTCTGTCCCTCGCCAACTCATTAAGATGATGACTCCATTCCAGACTGGCACAACCAAGAACACAGTTCTGGCAGTTCCCAGGCAGAGAGCTGTCTTCTCGGGAGGGGCAGGATGTCAGCATTTCTCATCCCACCCCCGCCTCCCTGATGCAAAAACTGTCGTGGTTGAGCACAGCCTGGAGGTGAACTCCCTTCTTTCACCCTGCCCCGAGGCCTCTGGCTACTTTTACCCTGGCTTTTGTGACAGCGTTCCATGCTGGGAGAGGTAAACTGAGGCGATCTGAGGCATCTGCGATCCTTCCTCCATAAAGCACTTGAATACTCTGCCCTTAAAACAGAGGTATCATCCAGAGAAAAGCACCATCATCCCAGCACTTGCGCAGAGGCTCAGAGATGCCGCCTGGAAGAAAAAGCAGGTGGTAGAACAAAAAAGCTCAGAAGCTCTTTTCAAAGGAACTGACTTCATTTGCAACAATTAACATTAGTATCAAAAATAGTAGAGGCTGTATTGAAATGCAATTGGGAATAAACAGATTAATTAATTAGAAATTAGGTTAAACTGCAGGCCAGCTACTTTGCTGGAGAGAAATGATGAAAGAGGCCTCAAACACTGACCTCAGGAATCAGTCCTACCCTCACTGGAGTCCAGATTTGATCAGATGGGTTTGGGGAGCAATTCATGTCCTAGGGCATTGTTACAAACAGCCCAGTAGCTAGTTGGCCATGAGTGGACTGTAAGAGCTGGGTGTGGTCAGGGAAGGAGACAGACAGATCACTGCCATCCCAGAATGACCGTGTTCCCTGATGTTAGAAATGAATTGCGATGTCGCATAAAAGACACTCCGTGGGACTGAATTACCTTGGTAAAGCAAAATTTACTCCTGCAAGAGGGTGCGTGCACGTAAGCCGTACAAACAGGAACAGGCCAGTGAGCACACCGAGTGGGCAGTCCACTCGGGTTTTTAATCCCTGACACGAGTCTCAAGGCTGTGTCTCACCCCATTGGCTAGGGCTTTGACCGCTAGTTCAGATTTCTAAGGCGTTCATTCCTATTTCAGGAAAGGAAAAAAGAAAGACTGTAAAGTTTCTGCTTTCTTGGGGAAGTAGTCAAAGAAAAAGAAAGAAATCATAAAGTTTCCTCACTTCAGGGAGTAGACAAAAAAAAAATAAGTTACCTGAATACAATAAACAGGATTATAATCATTTTTTCCCCCACACTGAGGAGCAGCATCAATGGCTTCAGAGTATGGAGTGGGAGGTAGGAAATAGACTTCATGAAGCAATCCAGCCATTCACAAATCAAGCAAATAGCAATAGCCTCCTGGGTGCTCTGAGACCAGAACCTGGAGTTGCTACAGTATATGCTGAAAATGTCCAGTTTCCAACAAAATAATTACAAGGTATGCAAAGAAACAGGAAAGTATGATGCTAGACATACTGGGAGGAAAGCAGGCAACAGGAAGTGCTTTGAGAATGACTGGATGCCAGATTTAGCAAATAAAGACTTCAAAGTAGTCATATAAAAATGTTCAAAGAACTGAAAGAAAAGCATATTAAAGGAATAAAAGGAGGTCTGATGGTAGTGCTGCATCAAACAATATCAATGAAGAGTTATAAATGATAAAAACAGAACTGCATGGGAATTCAGGAGTTGTAAAGGACAATCATTGAAATGAACAATTCACTAGAGAGGCTCAGCAGCATTTCTGAACTGGCAGGAGAATAAATTAGCACACTTGGAGAGAGATTGACAGATACTATGGAGGACAGAAAAAGGAAGGAAAATGAACAAAGCTTCTGAGAAATGTGGGACACCACATTTAAGGGGGCTTCAAAAACATGGGAAAAGGAATTAAAAAAATAAAAAGGATTTTTCCACAAGCTTCTAGAAGCTTCCTTGTTTGTATAATGGCAGCTTCAGGATGAGAGAGAGGAGAGAAAGAAGCAGGGAATGTGTTTGAGAAAATAATGGCTGTAAACTTCCGAGGTTTCCTGACAAACATGTATCTACAGTGTGATGCTGTAGGATAATGCACTAGACTGCAATAACCCGGAAACCCGACACAGGGTTGGAATGGACTCGATGGCACTTTTAACAACAGCAAATGGAAGTCCAAGAAGCTCAACAAACTAAGTAGGAAAAATACAAAGAGAGCCATTCAGATCTGCATTGGGCTAAGAAAGTCACTCCAAATGGTAGCCCAAATCCATAGTAACAAATGAAGAGAACCAGAAATGGTAAATAAATAGGCTAATACAACAAATCTGTAAATATACTGAACACTGGTATGGCTCTGTAGGATAAGCACTGGATCAGTAACTGAAAAGTTGGCAGTTCAAACTCACCAAGTGTCCTGGAAAACCCTATACACACGGTCACTATGAGTTGGAATCAACTCCATGGCACGCAAGAGCAAGAATAAAATACTTCCTTTCTTCCCTCAGCTTCTTTAAAAGACACAATTATATCAAGTAATTGTAACTATGTACTGTTGAGTGTGCTCATCTCAAGGTCAGCAGTTCGACACTACCAGTCCTTCTGTGGGAGAAAGAGGAGGCTTTCTGTGCCTGTAAAGATTTACAGCCTCGGAAACCCTATGCAGGGCCGCTGTGAGTCACTCCAGGCACATCACCATCACTGTTGGGTTTATAACATGTATAGATGTCATGCGTCCAACATTACTATCACAGTAAGAGGGGGAGGGGATAGAGCTACCAAGTAACATTTCTACATCACGTTGTAGGTTAGTATACATTTGAAACTGATTCTGATGCATTAACATGTAGATGGTAAGCCCTAGAGGAAACCCCATCTCCAGTGAAGTGACTGTTCCTTTCTGATAACATGTCCAAAGTACATCAGACGAAGACTTAGCAACCTTGCTTTCTTGCTGTGCTTCCAGGGAGCATCTGCTGTGTTTTCCCCACAACATATTGAATGCCTTTGCCAATACCATGATTCAAATGCATTGATTCTTCTTTGGTCTTCCTTATTCATTTTCCTGCTTTCACGTGTATGTACCCAAACTCAAAACCCACTAGCATCATGTCATTTCCAACTCACAGTGACCTAGACAGGAGGGTTTCTGATACTGTACTTCTTTACAGGAGCAGACGGATTCATTTTTCTTCCATAGAACAGCTGGTAGGTTTGAACCGTTGACCTTGCAGTTAGCCACCCACCACTTAGCCCACAGTGCTACCAGGGATGCTTGCATGTATATGAGGCGATCGAAAGTACCGTGACATGAGTCAGATGCACTTTTGGTCTTCAAAGTGACACTTTTGCTTTTTATTATGTTAAAGAGATCTTTTGCAGCAAATTTTGTTCCAATGCAGTACATTTGGTTTCCTGACGGAAGCTTCTGTGGGCAGTGATTATGGCTCCAAGTAAAATGAAATCCTTAACAGCTTCAGCCTTTTCTCCGTTTGTTATGAAGTTGTTTATTGGTCCAGTTGTGAGCCAAAACCCATAAGACAACACAAAGAGGAGACATCATGTAGACTGTGGACTTCCGTTAAAATCAGACATCAGTATAAGCTGCCGCATCACCTGCATGCAAATCGTTAAGTTAACAGAGGAAACTCTGTGTAAAGGGGGATGTTACATGGGAACTTTCTGGACTTTCCACACACTTACTCTGCAAACGGCTGTCAAAAATAAAGTCCATTTAAAGTGCACACACTATGTGATTCTTATACGTTTTGTAGGTATACCTCATCTTTCCTAAAACAACATCTGATTGTTACGGAGGGAGCTGTATTTCCACACAATATTAGATAAAAATGTATTACCTCTTTCTGATTTCCAGTATATATCGCCTATAACCTTAGTTACCTATTTGCTTGGTTGCACAGGGAGAAGATACCCATTGGCAGAAAAGAGAGTCATGTGCTACATGTACCAGCTGTGCAAATCCCTTGATCACATGCACAGGTACAGTCTTGCTGATTGGGCCGGTCACCAACTGATGAAGTCTGTTAGCATCCATTTAAAAATGTAGCATGAAAGAATTTGAATCAAGGAGGGACAATGAGTTCTATTCTTCCTTTTATATTGAATGCAGAAATGGAATATTTCACAGAGATGTCAAACCAGAAAATATATTAATAAAGGTAAGAACTTTTACGTGAAAAATTGATGCCAAGCTAGAAATAAATATAGCTTTCTGAGGAAACATAATTTCAATTCCAGATGATACCATGATTGCTATAGTTTTGTTTGTCCCCCCAGTTTGGAAAAGGTACTTTTTTTTTTAATGCTTTATTGTGAATTTTGTGATAGTTTGCATGGGAGAACATTAGCTTTACATTCATTCTATTGTATATTGTTTCATTGCCATGGTTCCAATCAACCAACCGAAGGGTATACCCTACAAACCTGTCTCCGCCCCCCCCCTCCCCCCCGTCGTCAGTACACAGCCCTTCTCCCTCTCTCCTTGCTATAAAACATCCACCTTTACATTTTTCAACCCTTGCAGTCAGTTGGAAAAGGTAACTTTTAAAATATCATCTATGCATGACTGTATATGAGGAGGCTTCAAAAGTTCATGGGAAAATTCCATTCTCTTCTAATTCCATTGTTCCGTGAACTTTGTGAAGCCCTCACCTACATGTAGAAGAAAATAATCTTAGGCCCCCTTTTCACAACACTATCCCAAATCAACACCCTTCAAATGATCCGCTATACATTGTACATTTTAAAGCGTTAGTAGAGGCAGGAAGCTCCAGTCTGGCCCATCCCAAAGCCACTTAAGTGGTGCATATTTAAAGAATAAAATGTCATAGCTTTTGACTCACAAAACATACCTATGACTCCATCATCACCCACTCCCCAGGTTCTCTCCTGTCTCAGTAATTCCTCTCCCTACCCCACACCCAGGGAGTGACAGACCTGTTGCAGTTCTGTCTTCACAGAATTCATTGGCTTTTTCCAAACTGTCCTATAAACAGAGCTGTACAGTATGTGTTCTTGAATATTTAGCTGCTTTCAGTCAGCATAATTATTTTCAGACCCACCAGTGCGCATGCACACATAAGTAAGTAGTTCATTCCTTTTCCTTGCTGAGTAATGTTTGTTTTTTCATTTTGCTTCCGAGTATGTCTTCTTTTGTATCAGCTTTAAACAGTCATTCCATTTTATTTCCCTTGTTAGCTTATTAGCATACCTCTGTTGTTACGGAGTTGCTTTTTTGATTTATAGGAGCGCTGGAAGTACTGGGGGTCTTACTTGGGACTGCTAACCTCAAGGTTGGCAGTTCAAATCCACAGCCGCTCTGCAGGAGGAAGATGAGGCTGCCCCCGTAAAGATTTGCATTCTCAGGGGCCCTTTACAGGGTCCCTATGAGTCACAATTACCTCAGTGACGCTGGGTTTGGGTTTTGATTTGTAGTCTCCTTCTCCATCGCCCTCACGTGACATGGCCCCACGTCTCCTAAATCAGAAGTAATAATCTGATGGTTGTATACGCCCAGCCTTTGCACACTCTTAGGCATTTTACTTTTACAAATGTCGTACCTCACACTGCATTGTTGATATTTTTCCTTAAGCACTCTGTTGTCTTTTAAACAGATTTCAATAATAAGAAAAAAATATTACTTATTTCCTTCCTTATGTGGGAAACATTTCCGCTTCTCTTCATTGTGTTGGATAGTTTCATATTTCTCAGCTGTCCTTTTGTTGTTTTTTCTGCCTGAAGAGGTGCCTTTAATATTTGTTATAGCACAGGGCTGCTGCTAATACGTTCTGTTTTAGGTATCTGAAAACATACTGATTTCACCTTCATTTTTGGAAGATATTTTCACCAGATATATGTGGCACTACAGGATCAGCACTGAACAGCTAATGACAATTGCAGTCACAGTTCAAACCTACCAGCAGCTTCTTAGAAACCCTATCCCGGGTCGCTGTGAGTCGGCACAACAATAGAATACTAAGCAGATAGTTTTTCTTTCCAATTTTAATGATGCTTTTGATGGGATACCAGATATTGAAGTTTCCCTTGTTGGCTGATGAATATCTTTTATTCTTGGTGGTGGTTGTTGTGTGCCATGGAGTCGGTTCCAACTCATAGCGACCCTGTACAGGGTTTCTGAGGCTATAAATCTTGATGGGAGCAGAAAGTCTCATCTTTCTCCTGCAGAACAGCTGGTAGTTTTGAACTGCTGACCTTGCGGTTCACAGCCTGATTTGTAACCACTACGCTACCAGAGCTCCTTAGACACCATCTAAAGGTGCCCTGGTGGCGCAGCGGTTAAGCACGGCTAACTGAAAAGTGAGAGGTTCGAATGCACCAACTATATGCTTCTTGGGAGAAGATGGCTGCCCTGACGATGTGCAGCTTTGGGAATCCACCGGGCAGTTCTCCTCTGTCCTGGGGGGTGGCTGGCAGTCAGAGTCGGCTCGACAGCTGTGGGAAGCAAGACTCTCCAGAGAGCTCTACCCCAGACTCAATCAGTTGCCATTGTGTCGACTTTGCCTCATGATGCCCCCCACCCCCACCCCCGTGTCAGAGTAGAAAGGGGTTAGGGGCCTATCAAAGCTGGTTTTAGGTAACACCAGGTCTTTCTTCTGAAGTACCTCTGAGTGGACTCGAGCCTCCAACTTTTAGGTTAGCAGTCAAGCGCGTTCAATGTTTGCACCCCCCAGGGACACTTTACCCACTGCCCCCTGCATTGTGGTTTTTCCACCTGGCTGGTGGGGACAGTGTATCTTCCAGCATTGTGGTATACATCACTGGTCTCTCCCTTCCCCCGTCTGTTTCCACATCCACCGCCTCTATGAACACCCCCCTCTTTCCCTCCCCCCACTGCCTACAGCTGGATGGTCCCTGGAGGCAGGAAGCTCGGGGCATCACAGGTGTATCTTGGGAGCCAGTACTTCATAGTCTGGTGTCCTGTGTGTGAAACCATCGCTTCCTGGATTCTGCCTTTTCTCGGGGGAGGGAGAATCTGCTCCCAGTTATGCCATCTTGGTGGGAAGTGAAAGTCTGAAGTTTTTAAATTGTAGAGAATTGGACATGGTGATTTTTGAGTATTGAGGAAGCGTGGTGTAAGGCTTTACACATTTAGACTTGAGAATTTACAATTCACGTCATTCGAATGCAGTGCAGTTGGAAGACCAGGTAGGGCCGGAGAGGTCCGGCTTTGCTGTAAAGAGGTCAACTGGCTTCAGGCCCAACACTGATGTTTACAGTCTGGTCATGCCTACGTCCTCAGCATTCTACCCCTTCATGGGTGGTTGTACTGGACTGAAGGGGTAAATGTTGTTGTTATGTGCTGTGGAGTCAATTCTGACCCATAGTGACCCTGTACAGGGTTTCCAAGGCTGTAAATCTTTACGTGAGCTTTAGAAAGCCTCATCTTTCTCCCGTGGAACAGCTGGCAGTTTCGAACTGCTGACCTTGAGGTTCGTAGCCCGATTTGTAACCACCACGCTACCAGAGCTCCTTCAAGGGGTAAACACTAGAACAGACTTAACTTGAGACTAAGGAGCCCTGGTGGCACAGTGGTTAAGTGCTTGGTTGCTGGCTGCAAGTTCAGAAGTTCGAACCCACCCATTAGCTCCTTGGGTGGACGGCCTGGTAATTGGCTATGAATAAAGAATACAGCCTAGAAACCCCCACGGGGCAGCTCTGCTGTGTCCTGCAGGGTCACTGTGAGCCGAGTCCACTCAGTGGTACATAGTAACAACAACAAGTGTAGAGCGTCATCCCAGCCTTTAATTAACTACTCTTTTTAAAACTTTTTATTGTGAATTGAGTGAAAGTTTACAGACAAGATCATCAGCTTTACATTCAATAAATCATAGACTTGGTTTCATCTCGATGATTGCAAACTCCTCCCTGAAACAACAGTCACCCCGCTTCCCCTTGGGGCTCCCATCTCCATTCTACCCCCCTTTTCCAGCCCTTCTCACCTTTGTCCTTAGGTGCATGCTGCTCCTTGGATTTGGAATGATTAACTATTCCTTCATTCATAGTAAGCATTCCTTATTGGTGTTGTTGCTCCTCCTCGATACCTCTCTGCTACCTGGCTAAACGTTGGCCTACGCGGGTGAGTTCCTCTCCAGACCTGAATGGTGGTCGAGGGCCGTGGTCTCCGGTTCTTCCAGTCTCTTTCTGACCAGTAAGCCTGGTCTTTTTTAAAAAAAAATAATTTTGGGTTTTGTTCCATATATTCTGCTGCGCTATCTGGAACCTTCTAATGTGATCTCTTTCAGAGCTGTTGGTAGTGGTAGCTGGGTCACGGACACTGATGGTCACGTGTTCCATTAAGCCATTGGACTAATTGATTCCAGGTGTCTTCAGTTCTCATCACTCTTCTTTCTTCCACACCTGGAAGGACCAATCGCTGCACCTTAGACGGCTGCTCATGAGCTTTTAATATCCAAGTCACTCCTCACCAAAGTAGGCTTGTAGACCACTGTGTTTGTGGACTGTGTTATACCAGTTGACCATGGTGTCCCCTGAGACTATGGTCCTGAGCTCCCAGGCCCAGTCACTCATTGCCTTAAGGTATTTGATAATATCTAAGAAGTGTTCATCATTTTTCCCGTTGTATGCTCCACCATGGAGCTCTGGTAGCGTAGTGGTTACGAATCGGGCTGCGAACCTTAAGGTCAGCGGTTCGAAACTACCAGCTGCTCCGCGGGAGAAAGATGAGGCTTTCTACTCCCGTAAAGATTTACACCCTCGGAAACCCTGTACAGGGTCGCTATGGGTCTGAAGCGACTCGACGGCACTTAACAACAACAACAACATGCTCCACCACATTCATAGTTTTGTTTGCAGAAAAGATAAATACTCATGTACCAAAATCCTCTTTCAAACTCTTGTATATCTGTGGGATACACACACACACACACACACACACACACAAATATGCACACATTCCACTCTTCCTCTCATACCCATTCAGCATGACTCTCTGTCCACGTATCTACCCGCAGAACAGTGTTGCATTGTTCAAGGTTGTGTAGCTAGCACTGTTTACCTCCATCCTCTCTAGCCCTTGTATACCTCCCTGTCTTCTGTCTTCCTCAGTCTTCTGCCACCCTCCCTCCCCAACACCTGAGTTAACATGTAGCCAGTGACCAACTCTCCCTTCCCTCCCACCCCTGGCAACCATCAGAGAATGTTTCTTTTTTCTTTTTCAAGCTCTTATATATGAACTTATACATCCCACTCTTCCCCCTTACCCATTCAGCCTGTGTCTCAATCCATGTATCTATCTCTGCACAGAACACTGTTGTTCCAGGGTTGTGTATGATGAAGTTAGGTGAGACACAGGGAGGTAAGCAGGGGACAGAGGGGTTAGAGGTAAATAATGATACATCTTCTTCTTCCACCTTGAAGATGTATCATTATTTTCCTCTAACCCCTTTATCCCCTGCTTACCTCCCTGTGTCTCACCTAACTTCAACATTTTTCTGCCACCCTCCCCCTTCTGGCATACTGCCCTCCCGTCACTCGAGCTAACATGTGTCTACCTTCCAGCCAATGAATTCTTCTTCCCTCCCTCCCACCCATCAAATATTGTTTCTTTTAGTCTGGAAACCTTTTCTTAAGCTTTTGCAATAATGGTCTCATATAATATTTGCCCTTTTTTCATTGACTAATTTAACTCAGTATAATGTCCTCCAAGTTCTTCCAAGTTTTGAGATGTTTCACAGATTCATCGTTACTCTTCAACGTTGTCTAATATTCCACTGGGTGTATGTACCAAGGTTTGTTGGTCCATTCTTCTGTTGTTGGACTCTGAGAGTGTCTCCCATCTTTTTGCTGTTGTGAATAGTGCTGCGATGAACAGCATTGTGCTTTTATCGACTGTTCTTACTGCGTCTATTTCCATGCACTGGACATGGATCATTGGGACGGTTGTTGTTGTTGTTGTTGTTGTGAAGTGCCATCAAGTCAGTTCTGACCCAGAGCGAACTTGTATAGGGTTTCCAAGGAGTGGCTGGTGAGCTAGAACCACCGACCTTGCAGTTCCAACTGACTTTGCAGTCCAGCGCATTAACCCACAGTGCCACCCCAGGCTCCATTGAGAGGGTCATAAGGTATTTTAACAGGTCTGTTCACATATAGTCTTCATTTTCTTGTCTGGAAATGCGAGGGGTGGAGAAAACAGGAGACTAAGCTGACACCTGTTTCCCTGCCCCGGGTCTGACTTACTGTCAGGACAGTCTCAGATCTGTGGGGCCCCGAGCCCAGAGCAGAGCCCCCACTGAAGGGGAGTCCGAGGGTGACAGAACAGGCTATGACTGTGGTCATTCATTTGTAGATGACGCCGTGACTGACACACTCTTCATACCTATAAAACAAAAACAAAACACTACACTAGAAAATAAATCCACTGCTGGTGACTCAATCCCAACTCATAGGGACTTTAAAAGACAGGGTAGAACTTCCCCATAGAGTTCCCACAGAGCCGCTGGTGGGTTTGAACCACCGACCTTTTGGTTAGCAGCCACGTACTTACCCACTGCACCACCAGGACATGTAAGTTCCAAACCTATAAAACTAAACCCAAACCACTCCCTCCACCATGTAGTCCATTCTGACTCCTAGTGACCCTGTGTTGTTGTTAAGTGCCGTTGAGTCGGTTCCGACCCATAGGGACCCTGTGTACGGTTTCTGAGGCTGTAAATCTTTATGGGAGCAGAATGCCTCATCTTTCTCCCACGGAGCGGCTGGTAGATTTGAACTGCTGGCCTTAAGGTTCGCAGCCCAGTACATAACCACTACGCTACCAGAGCTTCCTTGTAGGACAGCGGAAATGGCCGCTCTGAGGAGGGACACAGGTGAGGCCGTCTATTCCTGTGAAGACAGGCCATTTCCAGTGTGCCAGTGTGTAGCACACACTCCAGCAGGACTCCTTTCCAACCCGTAGACATTCGGAAGTCAACAATCAGCCAGCATCTATGCAGACCCCTTTCCCCCGAATGCATGCTCTGCTCCCCCCGAAGCTGCTTTAGCTCTTTGTCATGTTTCCTTTGGGGCAGAACTGTGTGTGAGTGTTACTGTCTCTGCCCACCCCACAGCAGAATGTCCTGAAGCTCGGGGACTTTGGGTCTTGCCGAAGCGTCTACTCCAAGCATCCGTACACAGAGTACATTTCCACGCGCTGGTACCGGGCTCCTGAGTGTCTGCTCACCGACGGCTACTACACTTACAAGATGGATGTGTGGAGCGCCGGCTGTGTGCTCTTCGAGATTGCCAGGTGCCAGAGTGCGGGGGTCCCACGGCTGGGTGAAACTCATGGTGTGGGTGGAGCCCAGTTTGACCCCATTGGCAGAATGTGGAAGGGTCAGACAGCAGGGTGACCCCAAAGTGTGGATGGGCACTGACCCCATCTGCAGATTATGGGGGGTCTGACGACAGAGTGACCCTAGCGGTGACCCCATCTGACCCCATTGGCAGGAGTGTAGAGTGGGAAATATTTTTATGTGAACTCTCCTAATTTCAATGACTAGACAAAATAAACACACATTAACAACAAAACAATACACAAACCAAGCAAAACATAACCGCTGCTGGACACAATTCCGAGGTCCCCCTTCTGCCGCTGGTTGGCAAGTTTCTTAAGGAATCGAGACTGGGATCTACCTGTCACTTAGCAGTGTTGTCCTGCCACTTGAAGGGAAGGGTCTTGGGAAGCTGGACAGGGGCAGGCAGCTTTCTTTTTGGGGGGGTTACAGTGACCCTCTCCAGCCAGCCTTTCATTCCCTCTCTCCTGATCCTCCTACCCGGGGACACAGAACAGTAGAAATGGGGCTCAAAGCCTGCTCCACACTTCTCTCGTGGGCCCAGCCTCCTTGGTGGCCCAGAGCACAGCGGGCACTCAGGGCAGATGGCACCCAGAGCCCTCTGCCTGGGGACGACAAGCTGGAAAGTCTACGTTCAACTCAAGGCCACATCACTGTCCCTCATTCAACCCGGGTAGCCATTCACCCACTGCGGAGTCACTCACGGAAAACACTAGGACGTGGCCAGAAGCCTTCACCGAGTCTCCCATGCCATCTGCCAGAACACACCAGCACACGTGCCTCTCTCTCCTCTTTACTGGAAAATGTCAGCACTCTTGTATCTCTTATACTTGGCTCTAACAAAACACTACCGCCGGTCATCGGAGGCCTCTACCGATCACTGACACCAATACAGGGGGTCCCCGACTCACGGTGGGCTTCCTTCCATCCTAGACACGGCCCTAAGTAGGTTCTGACGCGAGTTGAAGGCCTCTTTTTTTGTTTAATTTTAGTTCTCATTATTATTTTTATGATCAGCATCTTTCTTTCTCATTAGGGGTTGGAAGCATTACATATAAACTTAAAGACACATTTGAACGTCATATGTAGTACATGTTATAAATAGGGCGTACACAAACAGACAATCACAAGTACAGTCATATATGTCATAAGACGGGGACCCAGCACACAGAGACCTGGCAGGAGGAACGTGTTCCCGCCTCTTCTCCAGCCGCCGGGACACTTGGGACCCACCGAAAACATCCTGACAAGCATACCCATCCCCCTGGTTAAGAATCCCCTTCTCCCTTTTGCTTAAAGACAGGTGCTGCCGATTCTCTGTGGCAGTCCCAAGTGTGTCCGAGCAGAACTGCTGCGCAGGGTTTTTGGTGGTGGGTTGTTAAGCAGTAGATCACCAGGCCTTTCTTGTGGGCACCTTCTGGGTGGATTCGAACTTCCAACCTTTCCACTTGCACTACCCAGGGGCCCCTCCCTTTTGCTCAGCCTTATTCCCAGCTTCCAAATGGCTCTGAGACAAGATGCAGGCCCACAGTCCCCTCTGTGAATACAGCAGTGTCCTCCACGGGGGCATGTGACACAGTACTGTCACCAGGAACCAAGACCACTGGCCTCTTGCTCATCCACAGTTCACATCAGGCCCTGTCAAGACATGAGTTCCAAAAAAAAGCTCAGAGTTTGCGTGGATTCTGGAACTGTGGATAAAAGATTCTGTGTTGTTGTTAGGTGCTGTGGAGTTGGTTCCAACTCATAGCCATGCTGTACGGGGTTTCTGAAGCTCTCAGTTTTCACGGGAGCAGAAAGCCTCATCTTTTTCTGGCGGCCACCCTCGGTGCATGTATCCGTGTTGGGGGGGTTCCCATAGACCACCGACTTCAATGGACAGCCCTGTCCTCTCAGTCTCTGTCGCAGATTTGGGGTCACTTTGTAGGCTGGAATGGAAACAGAAGAACTGAAGTCTAATAATAGATCAAAGCCTGGCTCTTGCTGACACTCTGCTCATTATTAAATTAGGGCGGCACCCAGCTACAGTATTCTGAAACGTCTGATGATTTCTGATCGCTTCATTGAGAGAGAAGGCGTTCTGGTGGTGCTGTGGGAAAGGCGTTGGGCTGAAAACTGCAAGGTTGCTAGTTCAAAACCACTGGTCATGCTGAGGGAGAAAGAGAAGTCTATTCACTCCTGCGGATTCACTCTTAGAAACCCTACGTTAGGGTCATTCAGTGTCAGTGAGGAATTGAGAGAGCAAGTCTTTGAATAGTTTGTGTCAGCACAGCAAACACATTAGGGAACAACTTTCAGGTTTTCCTCTTGGTTGGAATCCTGAAGAGAAAACAAATGTACACACCACAGCCAGGCAGGAGCATGCACGCCATGGACAGCTGAGAGAGATCACACCATGCCAGGGCCAAGTGAGTGTTAATGCTACATCCCAGCCCGGCGGGCACATACAAGCCACACTGCAGCCCAGCAGGGACACACACCACACCAGGGTCAGAAACACACACACCACACCACAGTCAGAAACACACACACCATGCCACTGCTGGCGCCTGGGCCATGCTGCACCTCCTCTAGTTGGTTCCGTGGGGAACTTGTCCACTCTTGTCAGTGTCATGGGTCTGGTTGTCGTGAGGCATGGACACTGTCCTGGCTGTCGGCTGGCCTCCCCAGGCATCAGGACAGGTCCTGGGGATGCTGAGAGGTGCCACGGCCCTCACCTCGGGTCCTGGAGTGCGTCCTGGTGACCTGGCAGCTGAGAGGGAAGACAGATCAGGCTGACAGGGGCGCTGTGTTGGATCTGGGGTTGTCAGGCAAAGCTGAGGCCATGGGCGGCCACTTCTCTGGGAGGACTAAGTAGAGGGTGGCAGGCAGGGCTCCATGAGGGGTCATGAAGGGTGGGTTCTTGAGGGGGGTGGGTGGGGAATGGCTGCTCCCTGAGTTGGTGCGCTCCCAGGCAGAGGTATTCACAGCTCATCTACCTGCGGTCCTCATTGAGCCCAAAGGTAGGCCTGTGTGTGTTACCTCAAGACACCAAGAGAGCCGGCCCCAGGGTGGTTGGAGCGTGACTATGAGTGGGCAGTCCACAGCGCCCCCTGCCCCATGCCCCCTTTCC